GAAGAGAAGAGAAGAGAAGAGAAGAGAAGAGAAGAGAAGAGAAGAGAGAATAGAACAGAATTCTTTATTGGCCAAGTGTGATTGGACACACAAGGAATTTGTCTTGGTGCAAATGCTCTCAGTGTACATAAAAGAAAAGATACATTTGTCAAGAGTCAAGAATCATAAAATACAACACTTAATAATAGTCATAGGGTACAATAAGAATAGAATAGAATAGAATAGAATAGAATAGAATAGAATAGAATAGAATAGAATAGAATAGAATAGATGCAGAATAGAATAGGAATAGGAATAAGAATAGAATAGAATAGAATAGATGCAGAATAGAATAGGAATAGGAATAAGAATAGAATAGAATAGAATAGAATAGAATAGGATAGAATAGAATAGAATAGAATAGAATAGAATAGAACAGCAATGGATCAAGCCCAGTACTTCCGAATCGAAGCCCAGACAACTACAATGATCTAATACATATCGATTTTACAGAAGACAATGTTGACAAAGCACTGCGCAATCTAAAACCATCTCTATCTATTGGACCGGATGGAATATGTGCCTACTTCTTAAAAAAGCTGCCCACTGCCATAGCCAAACCGCTAAGCATAATCTTTTAAAAATCTTTCAGGACCAGCTCCTTGCCAAAACTATGGTCACAAGCCACGGTCATCCCCATCTTCAAATAGGGAGACCCCAGCCTAGTTGAAAATTACAGACCAATCTCCTTATGCTGCGTCACCTGTAAAGTCATGGAATCAATTATTAACCAATCCATTATCCTCCACTTAGAGACAAACAACCTACTCTCCAATAAACAATTTGGTTTCAGGAAAAAAACTATCCTGTAATCTGCAACTCTTACACTGCAAAAACATATGGATTACACAACTCGATCAGGGCAAAGCAATAGACGCAATTTATACAGCCTTCTGTAAAGCCTGTGATTCAGTGGTACAAACTATTCCTAAAACTAAAATCTTATGGTATCTCTGGACACCTGCACTACTGGATAGAAGCATTCCTGTCAAACAAATGGTCAAAATTGGGAGCGTCTTATCAAATCCTGTACCTGTCAACAGTGGTGTCCACCAAGGGAGTGTTCTAGGACCAACTCTCTTCATACTCTACATAAATGACCTCTGTGATCATATCAAGAGCAACTGTGTTCTCTTCGCTGATGACGTAAAGCTATTCAACACCACAGACAATACTGCTACCCTTCAAAAAGGCCTCGACTATGTATCAGAACGGTCAAACAAATGGCAACTTCAAATCTCAACAAATAAATGCTCTGTCTTACATATTGGCAGAAAAAAATCAGAAAATAAAATACAAGCTGAATAGTCAAGACCTTGTTGATGATCCAAGCTCTGTCAAGGACCTTGGAATACTCATCTCTAATGATCTAAGTGCTAGAGCCCACTGCAACTACATAGCCAAAAAGGCATTAAGAGTTGTTAACCTAATCTTATGTAGCTTTTTCTCTGGTAATATTACACTACTAACTAGAGCCTACAAAACATTTGCTAGACCAATACTCGAATACAGCTCATCAGTCTGGAACCCTCATTAAGTATCTGATATTAACACAGTTGAGAAAGTCCAGAAATATTACACAAGAAGAGCGATCCACTCCTCTACTCGGTGCAGAATACCTTATGCCACCAGACTCAAAATTCTAGACCTAGAAAACCTAGAACTACACCACCTTCGGTCCGATCTAAGTATAGTATATAAAATAATACATTGCAATGTCCTACCTGTCAATGAATACTTCAGGTTCAATAGCTACAAACTCAAGGTTAATCGCACCAAACTTGATTGCAGGAAATATGACTTCAGCCACAGAGTGGTCAATGTCTGGAATCCTCTACCTGACTCTGTGGTTTGTTCCCCAAACCCCAAAAACGTTAAACCTTAGACTGTCTACTATTGACCTCACCCCTTTCCTAAGAGGTCTCTAGGGGGCGTGCATAAGCACACCAATGTGCCTTCCGTCCCTGTCCTATTGTTTCTTTTATTTTTCTTATATGTACCCATTTCATGTATATTTATTCTTATACCTGTATCTTGTAAGCTATTGACAAATCAAATAAACACTAAATGCTAAATTTGCCCTTGGAGCACCCCCGCAGATATCCCTGGAAAAGCTACCCACCTGTAGCAAGCGGACTTGCAAGTGGCTGCCCAGCTCCTGCCTCGTTAGCTTGAATTTATTTCGCCGTTATCTCTTCCCATCACTCCAGCTTTGGTCTCTCAGGCATGGCCACGCTGCAAAGACACACCTACCCTCCGCCTTCCTGCTTTTCACTTCACCAGACTAAGCAAATAGCCCCAAGTCAGAGACCCAGAGACCAAACAAGGCTCTTTTGCTTACTTCAATAGGAATTGTTTGAAAATTGGAAAGATTCAAATTTAGAAAATGGATCGGCCCTAATGCCAGAATACAGAATAACAGAGTTGGAAGGGACCTTGGAGGTCATCTAGTCCAACCCGCTGCCCAAGCGGGAGACCCTACGCCATTTCTGACAGGTGGCAGTCCAATCTCTTCTTGAAAGCCTCCAGGGATGAAGCTCCCACAACTTCTGAAGGCAACTTCTGTTCCATGGGTTGATGGCTCTCACAGTCAGAAAGTTTCTCCTTATTTCCAGGTTGAATCTCTCCTTGGTCCGTTTCCATCCGTTGTTCCTTCTCTGGCCTTCGGGTGCTTTGTAGAATAGCTTGGCCACCTCCTCCTCTCTGGGGCAGCCCCCCAAATATTGGAAGGCTGCTCTCCTGTCTCCCCTGGTCCTTCTCTTCCCTAGATTAGCCAGGCCCAGTTCCTGTAAACGTTCATCTTATGTTTGAGCCTCCAGTCCCTTCATCATCCTGGTTGCTCTTCTCTGCACTTTTTCTAGAATCTCAACATCTTTTTTATAGTGTGGTGACCAAAACTGGATGCAGGACTCTAGGTGTGGCCTTACTAAGGCTTCATAGAGAGATACCAGACATTCTGCAGGCAGGAAAGCCATGAGGTGTTTGATTAAGATACCTGTCTCTTTTTCAGGCGACCAGAAGGCCACCTGGAGCCACAAGAGAGAACAGGTGCCTCTTGTCACAATGCCCTGTTCCTCCCTGGATTTCAACAGAGCGAATAGACACAACACAGAATTCTTTCCCTGGGAACCTGATTGTTGAAAATGGAAAAGATTTAGCCATCTCTCTAGGCTGAATACAATCACAGGTGGGCGACTCTGACGGTTTCAACATCAGAAAGGCTGAATCCCATTGCGGGAAGAAATTATTAAGAAAATATTGGAATGTGCTGAGATGAGTAGATTGACATTTGAAATTAGAGAGCAAGAGGATAAACAATTTTATGACATTTGGGGTCTTTTCTATCGATGGTTGGATGATAAAATATAATAAATAGAATATTTAGAATCTTAGATAATAATGAATATATAAAGAGACATTTTTTCTTTTCTATTTGATATTATATTTATAAAATGTTTTTAGGATAGATTTGGTATGATTATATGATTTGCTATTAAACAAACTAAGTAAATTATAGTTACCTCGTAAAGCACGAATGAATAAAATCAGAGTCAAAGGATTGTTTAATAGTGATACTAGGGGAAATAATTTTTAAATATGAGTCATTATGTAATGTAATTGTAATTGAGACTACGAAATGGATGCACAAAAAAAATTGGTAAAACAACCGACACACTGTTTGTGTCAGCCTCAAGATCTCTTCGGGTACCCCAACAACTATCCTTTATTTCTCCCTTAGTATCTCTACTGCTAGGCTTATTTCTTTCGGCTGTCATTAGCAACGGGGGGAGGGGTAATTGTGGGGGGGGAAGAGAGCTGGAGGTGTTTTGCATTCTTTTACTGTGGGCAGAAGAAGGGGGGGGGATTTCTTCTTTCCAACTTTCCATTTCCTTGCTAGCCTCTATCCTTTTTTGCGCAGCTGCGAAGTCTTATCAAAATATGTCAAGGTCAACGGACAGAGGCCTCATCACCACCTGAAGATGCTCACATGATCATATTCAGAACTTTTAATTGGCAGAGACTTCTGGACTTTGGGGGGTGGGAACAATTCCATTTCTTTGTATGTGTGATCTGCGCGCCAAATTCTCACTTTCGGAATTCCATTTGTAGCTTCCTTTTCATCTTCCAGTAAAAGAAGAACTTTGCTCTGAGCCATGGAGTCTGAGTATTTCTTTCTTGGATTTTGAAAGGAGCACACATTGACAGTTTGTATACTTATACTTACATAATGAAAAGTATACTTATACCTTTCCTTATGGAAAAGTTGGATGTTTTTATGTTTTGTTTGTTTTGTTTGTCTTTAAAAACTAATAAAACTGTTTTCAAAAAGAAAAAAGGAAAAAGGAAAGGCTGAATCCCCTTTGTGGCTGTTTTCCTAATACCCCACCCAGCAATCCAAAGGAACAGGGGAAAAAGAGGAACGCAGTTGACCGTTCGTTTCCCTCGTCCCGTTGCCTCCAGCTTCTTCCAAGTCCCAGATATGCCGCTTTCCTTTCAGCTTTTGCAGTTATTTGGAAATGGGGGTGGGGGGCTGGGTGGGAGGCATGGGATGGAGAGAGGCAAGAGGGGAGGAAAGATTCCTGGAGAAGATCTTGCCCAGTTTCCCTTCCCCATTGCTGGCTCTCACCTTAAAGGCCTGCCGGTGTGGAGGTAGTTGTGGGATGGGAAGGTGCCAAGCCGTGGTGGGATTCAAAGCATTGTTTACTACGGATTCTGTGGCCGTGGCTTGGTAAGCGTGGCTTGATGGGCATGGCTACGTGGTTAAAAAAAAATCACCGAGATGATACAACATGACCCTGGAAATGAGGAAAGTGTGAGAAAGAAACTCAAAACTAACTTGACTTTGCTGGGTATAAGATGAAGTAGAAACTCTGACTTCCTTTGAGATTCTCTGATGACCCCCCAGTACAAAAATAAAGCAGTATTATTGCCTGATTCCCTCGTGCCTCTCTCTTCTCCGCGGGACATTGCGCCACTTCACTCCTTCAGCCCCAAGAAGCCTTCATCCTGGCTGAGGTAACCATCGCTGCAGACCACAGGCCAACAAAGCTGGCTTCTCAAACCTGGCCTGCCGACGGAGGAAGGAAACAAGAAAGCGTTCCTTGAACCGGGAGTTTTATTAGGGAGCCATTCCAGTCCGGTTCGTAGTCCCCCCCCCTCCCTCGATGGCCTCTAGCACCCCTCCCCCACTCTGGAGCCATAGACCTCCAGCTCACAGAGGGTCAGGTACTCTGCTCGGCCAGGGATGACCACCGTCACGTAACGTCCTCGCCGTCCGTTACAACAGATGATGCTGAGAGAGCCGGCGCTGCCATTCGAGATGGACCCACAGCTGCAAAGGTAGAAAATCAACTGACTTATTGTTAAAGACACCCCCTGTTAGGAATAACAAGGTTACCTAACGTAGTTTGGGTAAAATAATATATATAAACTATGATAGTAAGTTTAAGTGTGTGTCACTTTAAACTGCAAAGCATGTAATTTTGGGTGCGGTTGTGAAACCACCATAAGAGGGAGCAAGAGAACCTGCTCATTTGCTGACAATTCCTGACTTTTCCTGACGATTGACTGATTTGATGAATTGATGGTTTGTTAACTGCGTGTTTTCCCTACTGCTGAGTTGCTGAAGGAAGAGAGGAGGTTTGACTTCTTCATATCTCTACTGCGAAGAGATATATTACTGGACTGATATTTGTAAGTTTACTGAGCTCTTTTT